TACAATTGTAGAATTAATTTCCTGCATTACTAGTTACAACAAATATCGGTATTAGCAGAATTACAATTGTATATATGCATATCAATATCCAATTAGTTCATGCATACTTAACATTAGAAAAAAAAATCACTGTAATCTTGGTCGGGGAATCGAACCCTAGTCTTCACTTTAGAGAAAGGCCTAGGCCTGCTCAAGGGGGGGTACTAACCACTATATTAACTGAGATGAGTACAACTGCATATTTTACAAATAGCTAATATGCAGTAGTTATACATTATGCATTATGAGTATAAGCAGAAATTAAATTTCTGTTTATACATATAGAACCTAGAGTGTTTGAAGACCTCTATCAAATCAGATTTTTAAGTAATGTGATTAGCTAATTTATTCTTATATAACTACAGTTCAAGTACAGAAGTACTTTGGATTCTTCTTCACTTTGAAAATCTAAAAAAAGAGATTAAATATTTTATTGATTTTTTATTATTTATCAAGCTGATGTATATTCTCATAATAGAAAATCAGTTAGCCAAAAAAAAAACCAGAAGATTCTCAATGAGTTCTTTTAAAGAAATTACAATCAAGAATTGCAGACAACATTCTTCAGAAACTCAATCCTCAGATTAATCATTAGTTGCTTTTTTAAATAATGAAAATATTTAGATGTTGAATCTGTAATAGAACAAGAACAAGATAAATTGGTATTATCAGAAACAATAATGGATTTAGCTTATCCAATTACTGCTTGTAAAAAGCATCTATTAAAACAGCCAGTAATAATGCCAACTCAGCAACAAGAACAAAGGATATATATAATAACTAATGATGAAAATAATCGGAATTGTAAAACTACATTTAAAACCAATTGGCAGTTTATTACTGCTATTTTTGTACTAACAATAACCTGTATGTTTCTTATAAAGGTAATTAACAACATTAATTGAATCAATTATCTTTGTTAATACATTTTTTAAGGACTTTTTATTAATGATTTTTATTTAAATAGAATATTATTAACACCACCAATAGTGCCTAGCAAAATAATATTGAGAATTTCAATTACATATAGCAATATGTAAGTATATCTTATAAAATTTTGGTGATATTGAATCAAATTAATTCTTACCATATTATTACTATATTATTACATAGATAAATTATACGAGATGTTGGAAAATACATTTTTTGATCATGTAAGGATTCTTAAAATCTTATTAACGTTAATATTTAAACAAACATTTTAAGCAATATACTATATTGTATAGATTGAAATGATGAAGCACCTTCATATTGAAGATACAAGAAGATATCAAAGGACCAAATCTGCTTATGAAGAGGTTAAAGCTAAAAATAGAGAACTTGAAACAAAAATTACGATTACCAATAATAAACTCATGAGAAGTGAACAAGAGCTGAAATTAGAGAAAGAAAAAAATAATAATCATCAATTAAATCTCAAGATTACTAAAGAAAAACTTAAAGCTACCCAAGACAGCAATACAGGCTTTACTATTGAACTCACTACTACCAAAAAAGAACTAAAAGCTACACAAGATTGTAACATTAACCTTAAAAAAAAAATTACTATTACCGAAAAGGAACTAAAAAATTACAAACAAAAATTAAAGTCCTTACCAAAAAAATTGAATTGTTAAAAAAAGATATTAAAATATTAGATAAACAGAGAATAAAAGTGAAGAAAGAAAACAAGTAATTGAGAAATTGAAACAAGCTTATAAAGAACTACAAGAAACTTGTAACAAAATAAAACAAGAAAAGATTGAAGAAGAAACAAAAAAACATCAAGAAATATTAGAAAAAGCAGAGAAATCTTTAAATAATAATGAATGTTAAATTTATAATGAATACTAAATTTGTATATACTTTAACATTAATAATAGTTAATAATTAATAAAAGCATTAATAAAACTAAACTACGATTATTGTCAGATAACTGCATAGATTAACTATTACTAAAATATTCAATCATAATGTTTGCATAACTATGGCCCTATTAAGCAAAGCCAAGTCTATACCCATTATATCTAAACACTTTATCACCTTCCAAATTCTTTTAATATAACCACATTGCTGCATGTTTTACCTGTATATGCTTTTGACACAGATGTTATTAGAAATCAGTCATTTTCTGAACCTAGCATACACCCAATTTATCATCTTTCATAATGTCTATTAATTTTTCTTTTATATCAACAAAACATTCAAGTACTATCAAATGTTGATAACACAATTATATCAATATACGAGCTAACCACAATGCTGATTTTTTATATATTTCATTTATTAAATTTTGAATACGTTTTCTTGGACCTTTTTTTGCTGGTACTTTAATAGTACATGAAATAAATGCATTATGAGTAAGTCCTAGTCGAAAAATGCAATTAATATCATCACTACTAGTGCTCCGAATCAGGTTGGGCTAACCCAAAACCCGACCCAAAATTTCGGGTCAGGTCGGGTTCAGGTTAGAAAAATTTGATCCAAAATTTCGGGTCGGGTTAAGCATTAACCCGAACTGAACCTGACCTGACCCGACCCGAAATTGTCCAATTAGAGATGCTCGAAATAAGCATTTTATATGTTTTTTTGAGGAGTTCTAATAGCAAGTACATATTTTTAAATAGTTTAAATAAAACCATTAATCAGATTTCTTCAAACAAATTGTCATGGCAGATCTTCGATTTTGATTGGTTAACAGCTGCAGATCGCAAAATTTGGCCTATATTACATAATTTACCAATTTCTGATCATAATATTGATTTTTTTTCATTACAAAAATAGAAATTTTGGAAAATAATCTCACATTATAATAAAATTTTCCCAGGAATAATAATAAAATTCTGAGTAATTCTGGCCAAATATTTTGCTCATCACTCTTAGCCAATCAAAATCAAGAATCTGCTGTGAAATTTTGTAAGGCAAAATCAATAAAATTTTTTTTTTAATTCTATGAATCATAGGATAAAAATAAAAAAACTTTCATTGATTCTAGTATGCAACCCACGACCTTTACTGTAGTAGTTATAAAGCATATTGAGTTTGGATTTGATTAGCCAACTTCGATAGTCATCATTACATGAATTTTAAGAGCAAAATGGGCGACTGAATTCATTTTTTAAAAAATTTTACAGCTATTTTCATAATTTCTGAAACACCTACTCGTTACCCGAAATCTTTTTAGTCATTCGGTAAATTATCTAACTCCAGAAACTACATCGCTGTCTTCGGACCTTCAATCCAGAGGCAGCAAAGTAATTTCCGGAACGCTAGATAATTTACCGGATAACCAAAAAGATTTCAGATAACATGTAGGTGTTCCGGAAATTATGAAAATAGCTGTAATATATTTGCCTTAAAATTTCGGGTCAGGTCGGGTCGGGTTCGGGTCGGGTTGAAGCTCTAACCCGAAAGTTTTCAACCCGACCCGACCCAAACCGACCCGTTCGGAGCACTAATTGCCACCGATATTCCATTTGTGAATACCCCTGATTGATGCATCATTAATTAGAGTCAAATGTAAATAAAAATTAAAAATACATTACTTTGCCAATCATATGAATTATTTACTAACTATTTACAATTTTTAAAGTTTATATTTATATTAAGGTTAAAGATTTAAAAAAGATGTATTTATTAAACTTATTTTCTAATCCAACATATTTATTCATTTATATTTAAACAAAAATAAACAATAATATAAATTTATAAATGTTACAATTAATCAATTATGCAGTAATAATTGATAAATTTATAAATATTACAATTAATCAATAATGCAGCACATATCACATAAACAATAATCAGAATTAACTTTAACAAAATTAGCAGGTTTAACTTCAGGTTTAACTTGAACAGAATCAGCAGGTTTAACTTGAACAGAATCAGCGGGCTTAACTTGAGACAAATCTAAGTGACCTTTAATCACATCAGTAATATTAGGTTTAATTTGAGCAGAATCAACGGGTTTAACTTGAGACAAATCTAAATAACTAATAATATTTATTCTTATTAAATAAAACGATAATATAATGTTTAATATAAATTAAACAAATAAAAAAAAACCTTTAATCGCATCAGTAATATCAGGTTTAATTTGAGCAGAATCTAACAAATACATAATAATAATATAACATTAAAATTACCAATATAAATTAAAATTAAAATATGTTTATGATCAGATAAATTTATAAACATTGGTTTTTTTAAGTAATTAAATAATATTAACCTGATAAATTATTAATATTTAGAAGGTTTAATTGAATAGATTGTGTGTACTCTAATGAATATGTTCATGATCAGAGAAATTTACAAAGTAATATTTGCTAACATTAAATAATAATAAATACCTTTAATTTGTCGTGTGTTAATAATTTTGCTAGTATACGTTGAATCTTGATGCTTTCGTTCGATAATTGGTAATTTCATCAGCAACTAAGAATTTCTTTTTTATACCAAGTTTATCAGATTTATAAGAATCATCAATAAAACTCCATAGAAGATAAAGCTTTACACAAATTTCATTTGCAGTAGGCCGTTTCTGTGGATCTCGATCCATACACTTTTCAGCTAGTTTGATGTAACATTTTGGAGTTCCACGTGCAAAGTCTGGTCGCAAACCTTTAATAATCTTCAACGCGAGTGATGCATTGAATTCATGACCATCAAATGGTCTCTGCCCAGATGACATTTCTGTCATAATAATGCCTAGTCCATAAATATCGGCTGCTGGCGTATAACTGTTGCCTTGTAAAACTTCAGGTGCAACATAGGGCATAACTCCGTAAATTTCACCTTTTTGATTGAGTTCTTCGATTTTCTTAGATAATCCAAGATCCGAAATATAGGAATAAAATCTATAAAATTTATTTTGCAAAATATTTCCGCTATGAAAATCACTGTGTGTATATCCTGCTTTGTGAATTTTTACTAAATCATTTGATATATCAATAAGTTGCGACAATTTATCTTTCCATGTAAGTTCTTTAAATTTATTT